TGCCACAGAAGAGCTGCAGAATATATACGGGTCCTTCAGAATTCAAAGACGTGAAAACCACCCAATAAACGAGGGCCACGGATTTCCATTGGTGCCGCCCAAAGTAATGCGCAGGTGCAGCAAGGGTGAAGGCGCTGGGCGTGCTGAGTTGTGAGGAAAACGCACCGTGAAGCCGGAGTTGCTGCAGCCCACCCGTCGGTCACCGCATGGAGAAGCCTGGCAGTATCAGCGCTGCTCAGGCTTAGGGCCACGGGAGCCCCAGGCATTGCCGGGCTGAAAATAGTCCAGCAGTGTCTGATAAAGCGCCACATACTCACCATGAGACTTGCTCTTATGTGTCCAAGAGAAAGTTTTTGTTTCCAGAAAAATCTTTGCGCCAATATTTCTAGCAGCTTTATTCATCACTGTGTACAGTTGACACCTGCCCAGATTTCTAGCTGCGGATGAATGAATGCACAGCGTCCACTCAGACCCTGAGAGTCTCATCTGCCCTAAAAAGAAATCAGCTGGGCGTGGTGGTGCGCCCCTGTGGTGCCAGCACTCCGGAGGGGGAGGCAGGGCCAGTGCTGCAAGTTCGAGGCCAGCCTGGGCTACACAGCGAGGTCCTGCCTCAAAGCAAAGACAGAGAGAGAAAGCGAAGAAACCCAGAAGGCCTAACACGCGGCTGAATCGCAAGCCCAGCACGCTGTCTCATCTGGAGAGACCCCAGTTTCCTGTCTGCGAAGCTCGGACTACTCAGACAGAAGGCAGGAGTGAGGGCTGACCCAGGGCTGGAGAAGCAGCCTTCTGGGGTGAGCAGGGCTCTGTCTCACACAGCCATGTGCCACTTTAATAAACCGAAATGGAGGAGCTTTTTTTTTTATTTAAAGAGAATAAAAATAGTAAAAATTAAAAAAAAAACATTAGAAATGATACTGAATTTCACTAAACAAGATGGTAGGAATTCAGCAATGGCTGCTATATTGCTTATTGTTGTCTTTAAATTGTTCAGATTAACAGATGTAAGCATGCAAAATTGGTCAAAAACATTAAAAAAGAAAAAAAATTTCCTGTATTCTAGGGAAGGGTCCACAGGGTGTTCAGGGTCTCACCACTAGATCGGACTCGTAGTGATCCTCCTGTTTACAGCCTCCCAAGTGCTGGGATTACAGACGCGCGCCACCACACCTAGTCTCAATCAACGTGTAGTGTCGGCACGCGCCGGGGGCGGGGCCGGCACAGCAGGCCTGGGATCGAACTCTCTGCCCCTGCGTTTTAATCCTTAATCCGCTGAGCTATTTGACCGGCCCTTTAAACAGAAAAAAAATTTAAGCATTAACTTTCTTGCAAAAGACTGTAAAGTCATTCTGATTCAAGGGAAACGGCAGTTTCCGTGAGGCTTCCTGAGGAGCGCAGACGCGCACGGGAATGCGGGCACAAGGCGCAGGGCAGCGCTGGGAGCAGGGCTCCTCTCCCTCAGCTGCTCACAATGGCCGAGTCCCTGGTCCTCACCTGGCCGCCAGCCCCAGCGCTTCTGCTCCGGACCCCAGGTGTGGGCATCTGATTGGCCGGCTCCTTCCCCTTGCTGCCTGTGGGGCTGGAAGCCCTGGGCCAGGCGATTCCCCAAAGAAATACTTGTGACTTGGGGATGCCGAGCGCCAGGAAGTTGAGACGCAGGCGGGGGGCCGCGGGGTTGTGCGGCAGCCTCACCACGCCACGCCCAGCCCAGCAACTCCAGGTGCACCTCGCGCGCCCTCCTACCTCGCCAGTCGGTCTCTGGACACGACCTGCCTCGAGGGACCAGAGATACTCAGGGCTGCTCCCTGAGGAGCCGAGGTCGCGCTAGGCTTTGTCTGGGGGGCCTGGCTCCTCCAGGCCCTGGCTTTAGCTCCCTCTTTGCCTTATTGACCACATCTGATGTGTCCGGGCAGTGGGGCACTGCCATCCCTGGAAAGTCTCCTCTGATGCTACCAGGACCCTCTCCCCCAGACTCTGGGCACCTGTCTCGGGCTGACAGGGCTCAAGGACTGGAAGTACCTGGCACACAGGTGCGTGTTACAGATGCAGACCGGCCCCCCAGGGCCAACGATGCGACGTGCGCCCGCTGGCACGGGGACGTGCAGGTGGGCTCTTCGTGTTCTGGGCCAGCGCTAGAATCACAGAGGCTGCAGATCGCTCCTGCCCCACTTGCAGTGGGTGGTGCTTTGTGCCTACAGCTGGTCTCTAGCTCCGCAGGAGACACTCCCCTGACCACGCACAGCCCAGGGCAGGCTGGTGACCTGCGTGGACCCCTGCGCGGCAGCAGCGAGGCCTGCTGCCCGGCACCCTGCCCCTGCCCTCTGCCAAGCTGCTGGCGAAGTCTGAGCAGCGTCGGCTCGGTGGGCTGTTCCATTATTTCACCCATCTGCACACCGATGAACTCATTTGCATGACACTATGTGCCTTTCCCGTGCCAGGTCCTCGGCTGGAAGACTCCCGTGACGGCAGCATGGTTATGTCACCGCACTTCTTGCCATCGACAGGGGACACAGATGCTAATCAATTCATTACTAGTTAAAAATTAGAGTCTTGGATTCTCCACTTTCCACAAAATGAGCCTACTGGCTCACGCTGGGTGCCGGAATCCCTCGCTCTCACGGAATCGTGCCTCCTCCCTAACATCTAAGTACTGTTTGCACACTTCCATCAGTGAGATGCCGGCTCAGGAGAGGGGGTTCCTGGGATCCTCTGTGCCGCCTGTCACCCGGTGAGGGACCTTCACAAGTGCATGGGGGGCAGGTACTCAGCCTGCAGCCCCACCCTGAGGCCAGGTGCAGCTGCTACAGCCATAAGAGGACGAAGTTCTAGCATGGTGCCTTCTGTAATCCCCACCTCCTTGCCTTGGCTTGTGAGGCTGAGGCAGGAAGATCTCAAGCTGAAGGACAGCTTGGGGAACTGAGTGAGACGCTACCTCAAAATAAAAGAGTAAAGATGGGCTGGGGAAGTACCTCAGTGGTAGAGTGGCACCCTTGGGTGTGGTCCTCAGTCCTGGGGGGGAGGGAGGAGTGGCAAGTTCACATCTTGCTTCAGAGAGTGAAGTGGGTGCATCCCGGCATATTAGAGCCAGGGAAGGTGGGGATGAAGGCTACCCCAGGAATGCCAGGGCTCAATGCCAGCAGGAAAACACTTGCGACATCTATCTCCATTCCATGCCAGTTCACAGGAATACGTGAAAACCCACAGGTCTGAGACAAGTGAGAGCCAGACCTGATCCTACCCCAGCCTAAATCTTGCAATGGAGGGAGGGGAAGGAAACACTATAAAATATTTTATCAGATCAACGGACAGAGCTGGAATATGGATCGACTAGATACCAGCACCTCATCGCTATAAATTCACAAGTTTGGCAAGTGTGCTGTGGTTATCCAAGATAAAGTCCCCCTTTCTCAGGAAACACGTATGTATGTGCGGAGAGCAAACTCACCCACAAATGATTGAGGAAGAAAATGCCGCGACTGAGTGTGAAGGAGCCTTCAGAGCTCTCCAGGGACCGCACGACCTGCCCAGGTTTTCAGGCTGCCAGGGGCTGGCACCATGGCTGGTGAGTGCCCACCGCGGAGAGGGTCCGAGCCGACGAAATACCTGCAGAAACTTGGCCGCGCGGCTCTCTCCTGAATCCGTCACCTGCAAGAAAACCCCTTTGTGCTCCCCGGGCTGCTCTGGCATCCACGGCCTCCCGCACCCCTCGGTATTGTTTGCACCTCAGGGGACGGGAGCAGGGAGTGTGGCCAGGACCTTTGGAAAAGGAGGAAGCGCGGCCCAGGCGCGGGGGGGGGGGGGGCACCGGGCGGGAAGCAAAACGCCGAGAGAAAGGCGCCAAAAAACAAAAGGGCAGCACCTGGCCCCGGGCCCATGCTGCACTTACCCGGCCGCTCGCCGCGGGAAGCGCTCGCTCCGGGAGATGCGACTTCCGTCCCGCGTGGGCACCTCGGGAAGCAGGCCAGCGCCCGCCTGGGTCGTGCGCAGGATTCACGAGTGTTCGGGACAAAGCGCTTCCTCCCAGAAGAGGAATCTTCTGCTGTAACTTATTTTCTAACTGCAAGATCCAGAGAGACATCCTGATCGCCGCGAGTTTGGCGCGATGGAGACCTCACGCTCCCGACGGTGGCGACGGCCCCTCGGGATCTCCCAGCGGCGGGGCAGAGCCTTTGTGTTCCCGGCCCGCGGGAAGGGTGAGCCGCGTCCGGAAAGGACAGCACGCAGCCAGGCATTGCGCGCCCACTTCCCGGATCAGGACACTGAGGCTCGGCTGCGTCGGGAAGGATGCGGGGCCTGCAGAAGGGGCGCCGGAGTCCTAGGGGCGAGGCAGCAGACCCGGTTTCCGTTTTGGGCCGAGCGCGCCCCGCAGCCGCCGCCGCAGCTCCTCCCGGCGCGCCGGGCAGGGGGGATGTCGCCGCGAGCTCGGGACGTGGTGAGTTTGAAACAGTCACTCCGCCTGCCCCGGGACAGTCGGATCTCCAGGGGCGCGGGTCCAGAGAGGCCGGAAAGGGGTCCCCGGCCTGTTCCCCACCCCCTGCGCCCCGGCCGGAGAAAGAGCGGAGGGTGGAGGAGCAGGAAGGGCGCGGGGCGGGGCGCGCGGGCCGGCGGGCGGCGTTTAAAGCCCGCCGCGGCGGGGCGCGGGC